CAAATGTTCGTTATATTGGGGCTGCAAAGACATGTGCGCAAGGCTTTATTGTCCTTGTAAATTAGTGTACTTTCATCACTACTAAGCTGTATTCATTCGTTACGCTTCATAATGACTTGATTTTGGAAAATGTGCGATTTAAGAGTAAACAAAAGCGTAATTACACGATGACCGTGCACATTAGTAATTAGAGCCCTCTCGAAGGCTCCGCAACACCGCATATGAACAAACACAAATCAAGACAAAGATACCCAGGATAGCCTTTAACAGGCTGCTGAGTCAAGTGCTGTTAGCGAGCGCCTTCTAAGGCCTCCACGGCACACACGAGGCGTGGAGTACCAGCACCATACCTGGTTAGGCAACCTTTGTGCTAAATTAAGGCTGAGTCAACCAAGCGGAGACCCGAGATTGGCTCGGATATCACTTACCAATTAAGCTAGCCATGGTCAGAAATAAAACTCGGTTGTTTGGAGAAAAAAAAAAGACCTTTTCTGGCAGTGTCAAAGTATGAAAAAAAAAGAATAAATTTGACCTTTTCTGGCAATAAAAAAGGTGTTAAGATGTTCAAACACCAGATAGAAACCTTTTGCAAGAACCATGTCTACATTAACCGCACGAACTTGTGGTGAACATGAAAAAAAACATGTTCTGATAATACATGAATTGTCCTGGAAAGACCTTTTGGCGTTCTCTGGTCTGACGCTGGTGATACTAGGCCCTAAAAAATTAATCCGTAAAAACAAAGTTTTTCACTATAAATCCTTTATATGCGTGGCGGCTAGAGTCCTCTCGTCCTCTGGCTTGAGATGGCTGCCACCTATGGGTCAGATGATTGCCTGCCACCATTAGGCGATTGGTAATTAAATATTTAAAAAAATTCCCTAAAAAGTGTAAAAATTAGGGAAAAAAATTAATTGTCACGCACAACGAGTCTGTGTGCAAAATGTCAGCTCGATTGGATCACGGGAAGTTGGTTAAAAAACGACCGAAAGATTTACACGGTCGTAAGCGCGCAAGCAAGCAAGCAAGTGAACTTAATATAAAGGATTTAAAAAGGCTGTCTTTGGTGCAGAACAATCAGTTTCACGGACAATACATATAATTAACGGGTCATGTTTTTGTTTGCATGCTCACCACAACTACGAATGGTCAATTCAGACATGATTCCTTGAGAAAGGTTTCTATTTGTTGTTTGAACATCTTAACACGTGTTTCATTGTTATTCGGTTGGTTGGGTTCGTAGCGCCGTGCACGATTCGCCGGGTCGCTGCTCTCCACCGAATCACGCACACCCACGCGCACCCACACACACCCACCCACACACACCCACACACACCCACACACACACACCCACACACACCCACACACACACACACCCACGCACACCCACACACTCACACACACCCACGCACACCCACGCACACCCACACACACCCACACACACCCACACACACCCACGCACACCCACGCACACCCACACACTCACGCACACCCACACACACCCACGCACACCCACGCACACCCACGCACACCCACGCGCACCCACGCGCACCCACGCGCACCCACACACACCCACACACACCCACACACTCACACACACCCAAGCCCACCCACGCACACCCACGCACACCCACGCACACCCACGCACACCCACGCACACCCACGCACACCCCCAAGAGAAGGTTGTAACAAAAGAAGAAGAAGAAAAAAACAGCTAATCAATGAGACCTCTCTTGGTGCCTTCTCACAGAGGCCATGGAAAAATTGATCAGCTCAATATTTGCACTCCGGGCGATGGAACGACGTCCACCGACAGAATCCTGCAAATTTACTGAAACGAGGATAATGACAGGGGGAACGCTTTTCAGCGCAAGACGGGCGAAGTTTACAGACCCAAAATCTTCCTATCTACATTTGTGAACCAGACAGCTCTTTTTTCACCGACACTAATTCTCAAAATGATCTTCAAATTCCCTTGTTGGCGATGTGCACGGTGAAGAGAATTCCAGCAGTGCAGTGTGTTCTACAGGGTGCCAGAATGAACCTCCATTACGTATCACATGCATAGGGTGTGTTAAACCATTCGTAGACTCAAGCCTCAACGAGGCTCTTGCTGCGCCTTGTGATAGGCAACTTCTGTGTCCGTGAATGTGGACTTAGCCCCTACTTGTGTGGATGCGTTTTAGTGGAGCAATAGTTCGTGCGTTGCCCTTTGAATCCGGCTATCTCGAGTTTGATTCCCATCTGCAGCAGCGAGTGATATTGTAACCTGTCCTTTGCTTCCTCCATCCGTCACCAACCCGCACGGACCAGCGTGGTGAAGTATGATATATATAAAAGAAACATCCACGATTGACATGGGGGTGTCTTCATCCATTGTCAGATTGAGAAATGTCTGGAATTTATATATGTTTACAACATTTCTATTTGACTTGTGCAAATTATATTTATATTAAATGTTTGTTTCGGTGTCATTGCATGTGTGTGCGCCACTCGATACCCTGGGGACACTTGCAAACGAGGTGTTCCATCTCATGGGGATTACCCAGGCAAAATGTTTGAAAGGAAAATAAAAATCCATGATATAAAGAACACGCAATAATTTCCCCGTTTGCTTCGAGGTTACAGATCGCACCTTTTACGTTTGAAACTAAGCAAACAACCAACTCCACATAAGTACAGTAATCCCTTCTGGCTCTTAATGTGTTTTTTGACTGACCACGTGTTGATATTCACTTTCCCATCCTGGGAGCATAAATCATCCGTAATTGTAAAAAAAGCCCCAACATACCTCTGCCTATTCCCCGGTCCCAATGGCTCTAGGCTATTCTCAGACGTCGTTATTTACCAAGAACACATCCCAGTGTGTTTTTATTTATTTCTTTACGAGTCTTGTGGGTTTTTTTTGTACTCTATGGAACCGATACACCTACAAGGGACGATATATAATTCAAAATAGTAAAAACCTCAACCGCATAGCAATTGCGAGGTTTGTTGTTGTTATTGTTTTGTAGGGGAGAGATGCAGTGTGGGAGTAAGTATAAAAAGTAATTTAATAATGGTGTAAAACTAAGTAAAGTGAAGATATTTTATAACATTTGTCCGTTCAGATTTGTATCACTTTAATGTAACGATTCTGTTCATTACCAGGGACACTGTGCGCTCGAAATACCGGAATAATTCAGAGGTGGGGTGCCCCGGGGAAGATCCGTTTAATTAATAAAACTCCGTGATTTCCATTCAAAACGAATTCGGCCCCCATTTAAAGCCCGTTACTTCATCTCGCTTTTCAAATGATAAAACATTTCTAAAGATATATAAACTTCATTGCACTGAAACCACCGAAAATCTAAATCCAATTGTGGAACGATTAATCCGATGGCACGTCAATGACTGCTCAGTCCAGGACTAAGTTAGGTCTACGATGGCTCAGCATGGACACGCGGCTCGCAGCGAGTCAGCGATGCTCTGTGGTAGTACGATTTAAACGTTTTTTTTGCTTATTTTTTTTTGTTTTTAACAGGATGTATATACCGTGTCCCGTTCCATGTGCGCGACACGGTACGTGCGCTCACGTCGTCTCGAGCTTTCCTCTGCGTTCGGTATCAAGAGCCACTTTCTTCGCGGAGTGTTCATCGTGCGCGTGCGATGGTGGTTGCGCCACGTGGTGTGTGTCGCGCGCACGCAGAGGGTGTCAGCGTGTGAATTACAATAGACGCTCGACTCACGCGCTGGTTATGAGCCACCCATTGAATGCCGCCACTGCCCGCGAGACAGCGGTGTGGCTAAGAGCATTATTTGTTCACCCTCCCTCCCAAAGCGCGAATGTTCACACGTAGCATCTGCCACTCATTTTAGGCCGAGTTGCCCTAGGGAAGGCTAAGACCACGTTCACATAGCAATCGCTGCAGGTGTGTGTTGCCACGAGTATAATGTGTCTCCACCATCTTCGTGGCATGCGGGGGGAGATAAAGAAGGTGGGGGGTGGGGTCACGCATGCTTTACTTCTTATACAAAAATGAGTCTTTTTTTATCCAAGTTGTGTTATGTCACGAGACAAAGCTTCCACCTGGATCGCTCATAAAGCAGTGCAGCCCCTCGTGCTAGAGGATCGCCCACAAAGAGAGGAAATGTTTTTTTACTCTTTATCACCGTTGCTTTTTTTTTTACCAGGTAAGACCCACTAAGCTGTACAGTTATTTTTCACAAACCACCTGGCCACAAATGATAGTTCAACGAAGTGGCTTATCATGTGGAAACGTATAGCAGTCAATTACTCGAAACGCATGTTTCTAAATGTAGAGGGAAAACCCGGAGAACCCAGAGAAAGATCCACACGGTAAGAACATGCAAACTCCAAATATACAGGCGTCAGGGTCGGGATCTAACCCACGACCTCCTGTATACCAGGTGAGGTAGTTAACATCTCGCCACCGCGGTGGCCCGATTAGGATATCCGGTTAGGATTTGTCCAAATATCTGAATCAAGATCCTCTTGAAAAATAGACAATAGACTTAAGACTCGGTGAATCTCGGAGTAGAAAATTCAGTGGATGACGTTGTCACACGAGAACACACAACTCTGAATAAACACCAATGACAGAGACGTCATATCATTTTGTTTCCAATGAAACCGGCCGGATGGATCAGTGGTCGAGCAACTGGCTTCACTCTCGTCCCACAAGGAGATGGAGCGATGGAATCAGTTTCGTGTTGTGCAGGTGATATGTGGATTTATTACATTGCAGCTTTGTAAGAGGGTGGGCGGTAGCTTAGGAAGGCTTTCATCTAACAGTAGATTACTCATGGCTGATGATGATGATGATGAAGAAGACATAAAATGCGATCACGGTTATATGTGTTATGGTTGGCAACACAGATTTGGTTTTGACAAAATGCAGTGGGTGATATGGTGAAACTGTTTCTGAATATTGTTTCGATATATTCAAATCTATACAAAACCCACGGTTTTCGTTTAAATACCAAAACAAAACTTTACGTTTATTCTTTTTCAATTTTATTACCGTTAAATGTTTACACATTTATTACCCATGGAAAAAAAAGTAGTTCATTTTTCAGAAAAAAAATATACTTTAATAAACGAAACGTCCATCGCGTAAACACGATTGCATTCAATCTGTGACTAATCTCCCGTTGCGATTCTGGAGCCGTGTGAATTCCGTTTACCAAAATCATGGCCCACTTCTATTGCCTGTCGCGGTGCCGCACGGCACGAGCGAGCGAGCGAGCGCGAACTGCACGGCGGACGGTGCAAGACAGCCACACCCGGCCCGCACTGCGACCGCGGCTATCACAGACACACCGTGGCACGCGTCGTCCACCCAAGTGGCGCGTCGCTCGTTCGCTCGCGACGTCTCGAACGTTCACGACGCCAGCCTTCAAAACGTTGACGTCGGCACGGAACGTTGCCAATCTTCCCGTCCGTACGACAGAAGAAGCAGGCGGCGGAATGGCTCAACGCACCTGCGCATGCCTTCTGTGGGAGATGGAAGTAACTAAAGGTAAACATTGCTCGTTTTGCTTTTGAAATCCGCAGCCCCCCCCTTTGAAAGTGGAACATTGAAAGGGTCCCATTGAATGTGACAGGTTATAAAAAGGGACACTTTTAGTACGAGTGAATCACCGATTGCCATTAACCCAAAACCTACTCCACATTTCCGGAAGGCTCAACCAAGACACGTGGTGAGCTGGCAGCCCCTGGCCACCGAAAACCCCGGCAACTTTTACGAACCAGAATGTTTTTTTTTTTTGTGCAGTTTTACTGTCGACGAGGGGGCCTCTAGTCATTGAAGTAACAAAAACGAATCGTAAAATTAAGATACGCGTTGCTACTCGATTACATTTTTTAAGGCTTTCGCATTTCCCCAGCCTCTCTAAATGGCCAAGCATGCTTTTAAAATCAGGCTGCTCTACAGTTTACGTGTTACTTCCAGCTCTCTAATGCCACGCACCTCCACGCCAACATGAAATCGGTAACGACTTCCACAGCTCATGATCACGGTTGGCAAATCACTTAATGCGAGTGTGTGTGTGTACATCTGGAGTGTAGCTGTAGTGTGGTAGTCAGTGCGCTGCACTACGAACCCGGCTAACAGCGGAGACGATTATCTGAACTGGTCCTGGGCCTCCCCTAGGTCGACTCAGTCTCAAATGAGTACCTGGTGTGGTGTGTTAAAACATCGCCGCTGGGAAGACAAAGGTGGCCGGGCGTGGTGCTGGCCACCCACCCCCTCATGTACCGTGCCGGCCTTCATAGGTGCTCGCTAACAGCACTTGCCCCAACAGTCTGTTAAGGCTATACGGGGGATCTTTGTCTTTGTACAGCCGTGTGGACTGTTCAAATCAAATGGAAACGTTTTGAGATGGAAGTTGAGGCAATGGGATTCCAGTTGGCTCGACGGTACTGCGGTTAGAGTTCAAATCCCGGTCAGGGGCTTGGACTCGGCTCACCATCATTCCAGGGTGGTCGATAAAACGAGTACCACGGTGTGAGAAGTCAGCAGGGGGTGGCTTGAGCTGAGACTCGCGAAGACGCTTTGAGCCTTTGAATGCAACTTCCCAAAAGCTGCCTGCACAACACATCTGCCGTTTCCCTAAATTCTATTCACCCATTAATATAAAACAAATACAAAACAAAAGAATGTACATTCTGTTAGTATTCGTTGAGTAATGTGTTGATTGAAAAGTATCATGTTTGCTCATTTAATAAAGCACCAATACACCCGAAGCTGTTTATGTTCACCCAGCCTCTGCTTGTGTTTAGATGTTGGTCCATGTAAGCCCCGTTACCCACACAGGATGTCACGATTGTCAAGCACGTCACTTCACAATAAACCTATAGCAGCAGCAGCAGCAGCTGCTGGATATGACCCACACCCCCTTCGGAGCAAATCCAGCCGTGCTTTTTTACCAACGTGTGCTTATATCAGAGGTTGCCTTTTGTATTATGTGTGTTCAACTTATTTTGCACAGTACGTAGTCAACCGTGCTAATCAGAACTCTGCTTATACAAGCTATGCTTATATTAAGATTTCACTGTGCCTTTTTCCTAATTGTGCATACATGCTTTGCCGTAGTTTGTGTATCCAACCACTGTGATGCTATGTATGCGAGACGAGTCCATGACGTCCAATCTAAATGATATGTCGTTCACTATCGAATCAGTCCTTGAGGAATACATTCACACTGATTCTGATCATCCACGCTTTCATTTGAAGTTGAAGCTATTTCTTCGTGAACGTCTTTCTTGGACGCATCTACATTATGTATGTCTTAAAACTCATGTTGTTTATCCAGAAATAAAAAGTGACTCGTTAATTTCTGCCCATTTCCTATTCGAGAAGGTCAGAGCATTGGATGTTTGCCATCATTATTTTTTGCAAGATGAGTTTTTCTATCGATAGCTCTTTAATTGCAATACTTTTGTCTTCAAGTATTACATTTCAGCAGCATTAACCAGACACATGGGCCAGAGCTCACTTTCGAGGTTTGGAGTGTCCGAAAAGAAAATGCAAATAACCAGTCGTGCAAGGTGCACGCGTGTCGTTTGCATTTGCGAGAAGCAATTGTTGACCGTGCAAACGTCCGCACGTGCGCGCGTGTGTGTGTGTGGTGTGCTGACTCTGGGGAGCAGTAGCACAGCGAATAGCTCATTGCGCTACGGACCGGGCCAAACGAGTTCGATTCCAGTGTACGCCGAACATCAGTGGCCGGTATCTAGACCGATTCCGACGCCTCCCCTAGGCCAAAGCAGCCTGCTGTGGTGTGGACAAGCATCACAACACCTCAGAGATGTGTGGATCTGGCCCGTTGACTTCTGACTCCCGTGAAATGTTACGGCGGAGGGGGGTGATTACGATGAGACTGACGTTCCATTGCTTGTCCCTGCCTCTCGCATTCATGCTGCTGCTGCTGCACAACAATCTACCACACTGTGCCACTGTTAACATCCGCACGACCGTGCCGCTACACATTCACGATTTCACCCCTTTCCTGCCGTTCCTAAGTCGGTCTGACTTCCCTTTGTTGACGACATCCTGGCAATCCCTCACCCAAGTGCATCAACACTGCGTGCATGTGATCGTTAACCCCCACCCACCCACCGCCTTGCCTTGCGAGTCAATTAACTGTGACAATTCGAGGGAACCCAATCCGATTCAAGAATCAATTAAAGAAACAATTACATTGTGGCGAATGTAAGCAACCGCCAATTGTGGTGGCTGCAGGCAGGGACCTCTTGAGCCGAGTACCTGCATTGTACACGAGTCGAGACAAAGCAAAAACTATTCCCAGCAACGCGATTCTGTGCGAGCATCGTTGTTGTCGAAGGGCGGTAAGTAGAAAAAAAGATTTTCCTCGACGAGTCGATGCGTTGTCGCGTGGCTGATGATGGTACGCGACGGCACGCACGAGTTATTTGGGGAAGAGTCGTCACTCGGTTTCACCAAACGTGGCACTTGTTTATGGGGTTCATGTCATCGGAGGCCTTGCACTGATAGGCCTCGGAAAACTTCTCGAAGTTCTGCAGGGATCCGATGACCCTGCGAAAGAGAGACGAGCGCGTTCGCGCGCGGTAAGTTGTCGAACAACGACGACAACGACGACAACAATGAACGGCACGAAGAACCAAATCGCAAAAAAACAGTGGGCAAGGGGCACATGTTGCACACCGTGGCATCGTAGGTGTTGCGAGAGATGGCGGTGACTTGGTGGGGGGAGCTTTATCCAGCAGTGGATCGACCATGGCTGTTGTTGATAATGTTGACGATAGTGCTCATGCCAATGACAAGGGGCCACAGTGGTGGTACAGTGGTTAGCGCGCTGCGTTATGAACCCCCAGTGACCTCCGTTTGGTTCCTGGCCACAACTGACATTAGTCGCGGAGAATGATTTCCAAACCGAACCTGGGCATCTCCTCCTACCGGCGTGGTGAGGTTTGGTCAAACAGCCCCCCCATTGCCAACATGACTTGGGGAGGCCTTTATCCAGCAGTAGATCGGCGCAGGGCTGAGTTATTGTTACTTCATCATGATGCACAGGGTGAGTGAGTTGCATTGTCAAGGAGTGTGCACAGCACTCCGATGTTTTTTTGGTTTGATTGCCGAGTCGTTTGGATTGACGTCCGACATTTCACTGCACGTGCTTGCAGCTTGTTCAGGAACTGAGTAGAAGAAAGCTCCCAGACTTCTTGGGAAACTGGGAAACGTCGGACATCGTGCCGAACAACGTGCGGTGCAGTCCAAAAACGCACGCCGGGGGAAAGCTGTAGAGCACAACCGCATCATAGGGCTACGAGGTGAAGTGACGTGCATTTGTGTGACTGACCTGAACTTCCCAGGGCTGTGCACGTCTGTTTTAATCGAGTTGCTGGCATACTCGGGTCTGTAATCGCCGCACCACACCTGAAAACCAACCACATGACAAGAATAATTAGCGTGGGTAGGTGACTTGTGTAGCTAGGATAGGTGGCTCCTGTGTAGCTAGGTGATAGGGCACACACCACACGAATCTAGTACGTTGCAAACGGTGTTTGGCGAATCATTCATAGGTGGAAGCCACGATGGTAACGATGGGTGATGCATCACGGAGCGCAAACAATGATCGTGTTTATTGTTCAGAAATTGATGCCTTTGAATTAAATTCAGACAACGTAAAAAAGCAGGACGTCAGCTTGATCCAGCAGTTGATTAATCCTGCCTCATGATGTTGGTGATGTTGATGACGATACCAAAATTGCAAAGGCTGCGTTCGCTTTACGGCGATGATATGAGTGTTGTTTATATTTTACCTGAGCAAAGTTCAAGAAGAAGAGCTGTTGGTGGCTGAGTTTGAGCCCGGGCAGTGGCAGTTCTTCGCCATTGTCCTTGACCCATGCCATGTAAGCCTGCACACAATGCGGCCGTGCGTCGACGACACAAGGGCAGTAGCAGAACGCGACATGCGGTTAGCGACGTGCGGCGCGAGAGAAGCTCAACATCCATAATACAGGTTTTTTTTGGGGTTAGATCGCATAGATATAAATGTGTCGTTAAACCGGCCACCACCCGACACAGCCAATTAGTAACGTTTGTCACGTATACATAAAATGCCAATTCGTTACTTGTGTAGTGACATAGAATGGGTCACGTAACAGCATAGCGCTGGCTGCTGGCATGGAAGGGGATCTGCAGCTTACAGCAGCCCTGACTGACAGCAGGTCACGTGATAGACCAGAGAGGGATCTCAGGGGAAGGTTACGGAAGGGGCACATCGAGAACCCGCAGGTAGGTTCCAGAAGGGGGGCGTGGCCAGGGGCGGGGCCAGGGGCGGGGCCAGGCCACGCTGACAGTATAAGAGGCGCCCCGGGAGGGGAGCTCGGGGATGTCGTGTGGAGTGGGGGGGGTCCCCGTCGTGCTGCTGCTGGAGTCTTCACCGTCTCGGCGTCGCCACTCAGGCAGTCTACCAGCTGCCCTGACTGGGAGCCGTAGTTACCCAGTGTTAACTGTTAAGGCCGTTTAATAAACAGAGTGCCTCCTAATCTTAGTGTCTCAGAGTCAGTCACTACACTTGTACAGCACACCGGTGTGTTGAAGAGCAAATCCACAACATTTACAAGTTCAACATACATACGCGCGAGGGGGGGGGGGTTCTGCTGCTGCTTCTGGGATCGCATCAGTGCCGGATTAAGCTAGTGCGGGCCTGTAGCATATTTTATAAAGGGGCCCTAAAATATAAAAAATATATAAATAATTAAACACTAATTTTTTTACTTGCATAGTAAAGTAATTGTATTTTTTCATTTGCTATACAGACAGATAATACGACAAATCGCTTACCTTAAACACCCAGTCGTTCGTAAAAGTTTAAGGCGGTATAGCACTATAGTAATAGAGCAAGTGCAGACTCACTGAACCGGAATTGATAGATTGAAAGCATTTAGCGCGGGGCAACTTGAAAGTGCGGGGCCCGTAGCATGCGTAGCTACTTGTGCTACCGGAACAATCCGGCACTGGATCGCATCGCTGACTCGCGCGTCAGCTGGCTTCGCCGGCGACCTCGGCGCTCTCCAGCCAACTCGCTCGGCTCGGCGTCATCAGCTGCTCGGTGTCAAAATGAAAAATTAAAAATATTTTTCAAGGAACGCGGCGCACGAGCTCCACGTGCGTGTTTCTTGGGGTACGTCCATGTGGCGCTGTCGACACGTGGCGGCACGCGCAATGAAAGGGGGGTCACTATCGCAATGAAAGAGGGGTAACTCGCAATGAAAGGTGGGGAGGTGAGACGTGGGGGACAGTGCTGTTGTGATGGTGCGTGGAAGGTCACCGTGAGAACACGTGCTCACCTCGTAAGCCTGACGGATGCCTCCGTTGTCAGCGATGTTCTCTCCCAGCGTGTTGATGCCACTCAGCTGCAGGTTTTGTTTACACGTCACGACAACAACAACAACAACAAGAATAGAAACACAGCAACCACAAATTAGCTGTTCACTTCGTCACTCGTGCTCGCCGCGGCCGCGAGTCAGAACTCGTTGCCGACAGGTTGACGCTGCAGTGAACGCGCGAACAATCGCGCCCGGGTGTAAATTTCGCAAAGTATTTAGAGAATTTCACAGTGGGTGCATTAAAAAGTTCATAAACATTACAAGAAGCGCAGTTTCTTTTTTGGTTGTTGAAAATTATCGCAGTACCGCTGCGTTTATGGGCTCTCCGACGCGTTTCCACATCCAGAAACAAAATTACACCGCGGTTTTCTCTTTCTTTCTTTCACAAACGTGCACCGTTCCGCCATCAGTCACTCAGCGTGTTTTACAATTTACACCCTCCCCACCTCCTCCACTCGGTGATGAGTTTTCACGACGCGGGATCGTCGTACATTCGATTTTAAAGACACCCCTCCTCCTCCAAGAGGGTGTGGTGCCCAACTCTTCCACACTGGGCAAGCATGTTCGAAGAATTTTGACTTAACTTTCGTGACTGCAGGTATTCGTATTTTTGTTTCTTTCGGTAAAGCCACGTTAATAGAAAACCAAAAAGAAAAAAGTTAACTAAATAAAAATAAATAAATAAATCGAAAATAAAAAATACTAATAATAAAAATGCAATAAAAAATTAATTGAACATAATAAAAGATTTTTATTTTTTAAATTTTTTTTCTATTTCCGTGACTTTACCGAAAGAACCAAGAACATGTTCGAAGAGGCGGGCCGCCAGTCCCCGCGCGTCACCCCGCCGCACGCGACCTTGCCGATCGACTCACTGCGGTGCAACCCCATCCACACGGCTGGGTGGGCAGCGCTCCCATTGCTTCAACTGCCACGCCGGGGAGATCGAATTGAGCTGACGGACCTCCAGATCGCAAGCCCCGTGTCCTAACCACTCATGCTGCAGCAGCCTCGATTCCAAAACACACACGGTTATTCCAAACTCCTTACGTTCTGTCCTCCAGCAAGGTCCCACTGGAAGTTGCCGTACTGATCGATGATGCACTGCGACTTCTCCTTGAAGTTTTTAGCCGATTCGGCCGACCACCAGTCCACGAGGTTGCCGTCCTTGTCGAAGTTACGACCTACCGAAGCACAGCGCCCGCGTTCACAAAAAGGTATTCGATAACGGCCCACATGTGTGGATCATTGCATCTCCGACGAGCCACGCTTGGCTATGTACGGTGCAAAAGAAGTTCAACGTTACATGCCGCACATGCAATCGGGGTCGACTATTTCGCCACACTTACGCTGGCACAATCACTTTGGTGCGAGGGTTACAATGATTTTTTGTTATCCATATAAATAAAGACGTTCATCTGTATGTCTCAAAAACATCTCGAATACTTCCCGACAAGGGAGAAAGCTGAAATTTGCTAACCAGGTAGCTTTAGGACACAAACAACAGAACATTCTGGAAATCCGATATTTTTTTATTTTAAGGCCCCCAAATCTCGATTTTATGTGCCCCATAAACACGTTTGTGCCTGGTGTCATTCAGAAACCGTTCAAAATATAAGATTGCAGGTTTTTTCGGTTGATAGACCGTTCAAGAGCATAAAGTTAAAGCGAGAACGATTGCTTTATCTTTTATTGTTCGTTTAGATATTTGACTGTAGATAAAAATTGTAAAAAAAATCAGTATCAGGTTACGTGTTACATTTATAGAAAACTTTTGCCTGCCGAAGACGGGCTTCGTGAACTAGTTATTATTCTTCTTCTTATCTCACCGCTGTCGTCAAAGCCGTGGATTATCTCGTGCCCGATCACCATGCCGATGCCGCCAAAGTTCAAGGACATGGCCTGATCCAGGCCGAAGAAGGGCGGCTGAAGGATCCCCGCTGGGAACACTGCGTTGGTGGGGAGTGGATTGGAACACATTCAGCAGATCGTGAACAGCCACCCGCACGCCCACGCACAGTCTCCTCCTCCTTCAAGGCAGATTGGAAAACGCCGACAATGATTACGCATTTAAAATAGAACCCATTAACGCAAAACAATGTGGACGTATGGAGATTTTAAACAGAACTGGGGGGTGGTGGGGGGGGAATCGGGGGATGGGGGGAATGGACAATGAGACTGGGGTACATTTGCAGGGAATTTACAACAGGGGGATAAGGCAACATAAAACCGCTTATGTCTTTGCTGTTATGCCGTAAAGTGTGCTGGTGTGTGTTTTGGTCGTGCCGCCGCGCCGTTTGGCAGGACATCGTGCCGATGAAAGCGCGGTGCCACCCAATAACACAGATGGTTATATGGGTGCTGTAAATTTAACAGGGAGGTTATCGGGTCCACAGATGTCAACGGTATTATAAATAAGAGATTAATGATACATTTCAATTATCCGACAGACATTTAACAAGGCATTGACAGGAAACACTGATGCACTTCATACATTCCCACGGTAAATGTTGTCAATTATTTGCACATTCCAAAAAAATATGTAGAATTGCATTATATTGACTGCAAGGAGGAGTGATGGTACAGTGGTTAATTCACTATGCTGTAAATCCAGTGATCTAAGGGCCCGTACATAAATTACTTCACGCACATAGGAGGGGGGGGGCGATTTACGTCACGTAAAAATGCGCAACTTTAAATAAATATGAACAACACGTTCTACTTAATCAAATAGACTTTTTAATACATGTTTTCTCCTACGAACATCAGAGTGCAGCGCCACATTAAATACGCACTACAATGACCATAGTTTAAAGCGATTTGAAGCATGTTCTAAAAAAATTTTGGGGATGGGGCAGAGCTTTATGACGTCATATTTGAGGGGGGGTCTGACTTTTTGTGACGCCGTCTGACGAAGGGGGGGGGGTCAAAAATCGTACAAAATCGCGTGATGTCATTTATGGACGGCCCCTAAGTTCAATTGATGGCCATTCACCAGCTCCACACCTTGACGCAATGCGATTGCATTTTTTTGCGTACGAATGTGGCTTGTTTCGTGAACTGCTTTGGATTTGTTCGCGTGTTGTACTTTGTGTTTGTGCTCTGTACCTATCTGATTGTAGCTGGAGCTGTAGAAAGCGTTGACCACAGCTGCTCCTGAGATCCATCTGAAATGAGAATAAATTGCAACGGGCATTGGGCTTGTGGCTTATTGTGTGATTGTTGAAAATAATTTATCGCGTAATGATTAAATCTTGGTGGGCCGTATAGTAAACCACTGTAGTCTGCATTCCTTCAATGGTTGTATGAGTGGCAAAACTACTCAAACTCTCTCTTGATGCCCTCTCCTCGTGGCCAGCAGCAGACATGGACATTGGCATTGTAACTCCTGAACCGTATTGCCATCTTACGCGAGAACAGAGTAGAATTATGTGTAATAATAACGACAGCGCAATTTATAACGCGCACAACATATCGAGGACATATAATGACGGTGTGGCTCGTAAGCCGGGCGCAAGGGTGCATTTACGTGTCTCCCTTCTTGCCAGCATCAAAGGATGGAAAATAATATCCTCTCTGGCAAATAAAACACGTGTTGTTCAAACAACAAATAGATACATTTCTGCAAGGCATCAAGTCTGCATTCACTGCAAGCACTTGTGGCAAAACATGCAAACAAACGGGCTCTGATGATACACGCATTGTCGTTGAAACTGATTGGCCTACACCAGAGGTAGCCTTCTCTATGGCCTAGTCTCACCGATGTCAGACCAGAGAATGGCAAAAGACAAAGCAAGTCAAAGGTGTTTGAGCATCTGAAGACCTGTTTTATTGCCAGAAAGGGTAAAACCCATTCCACTATATATTTCATACTTGAAGTGTCTATTAGAACGAGGTCAAGGTAAAGGTGCGGCCATGCAAACTGCTCGCTCACACAGCCGCTGGCAGAAGGGCCTCTACGCGAGGAAGCTCCCCAAGCCAGACGCCGCCTGGCTCGACCTCCCGGCGCGGTAGTTGACACAATGGGCAATTTGACTAAAATCGCCCGGCCTCTTGTCCAGCCAGCACTTTAGATCGGTACACACTTCCGTCGATGGACAGGTTTGTGCGTGGTGGAAGTGGTGGGTACACCCACCTCTTCCAGCACATTTGGCCAGCATGGAAGAGTAGACCAAAGTATCCTCGAGAGAGACTCTCGAGAGAGTCCCCTCCCTTGTGCCAGCAGTAAAGTGAGGAAGCAACTGCGGGGTTGCACCTCCACATTTCGCCAATCACAGTGTTTTACATGTGCAGGTGAAGAATATTCCGTGAGCGTGATGAATTTAAAAAGCCCTTACTCATTCTTGTCCACTGCGGTGTTGATTCTTGCGAGTCTTCTTTTAGAGTCGAACGCCAGTGATGCCAGCGTGTTCGCAAAGTATTTATCGGTGGTGTACACCAGCTACAACATCAGAACACAAACAAAGCATATCGACAATTACCTCCACACGCATAACCTTCCAACCCCCCCTCCCCCCCTGTCCTCTTCCCATGGGCACTGTGGGTGAGTGTCGCGATGCCCCGCAATGTTGCGATGTGGCTAAAAGACACCCACGACATTTTGGACAAAAAAAAATCACATTTTAGATCCCAAGGTGACATGCCGATGATGGAACCTTCGGTCGCAAGGGAGCAGCACGAACAGTAGGAGATGCACCGAGTCTGGAGAAATCTCGCGTTTACAGCCCTGAGTTAATTCCTTATTCCTATGGCGGGGGCGAGTCTATCCATAGCAGAGCAAGTGTTGCTTCCCACAAATGGCACTCGTTTTATTGACCCCCAGAAGAGATGATGGGCTGAGTCAACCGCAAGCCAAGATTTGAACTCTTAAACAACCAATTGCGAACCGCTGGCCAACTAAGAGTGTACCTGGCCATTGGGATCTCAGTTGCTTATACATCACGTGATGGCGTGGTTGATGTGCACACTGTAGCAACAAATATTGATATGGAGTTGCCTGTAAGGGTGATGTAGCGGGTAGCGCGCTGCGCTACGAACCCGGAGACCCAAGTTTGAGTCCCACTCATGGCCAACACCAGTGGCGATTATCTGAACCGGTGATGGACCTCCCCTAAGTCAACTCAGCCTCAAATGAGTACCTGGTGCGGCGTGTAAACGCCGCCGCTAGGGAGACAAAGGCAGCCGGGCGTGCTGCTGGCGGCACACCCCCTCGTGCGCTTTTCCAGCCTTCATAGGTGCTACTTGCTTACAGCACTTGCCCCAACAATCTGTTAAGGCTACACGGGGGATATTTGTCTTTGTTATATATAGACATCTTTAAGTTGATGGTTAGCCCGCTTGCCTCTGCCGTGACAGAGCGCGGTGGGGCTTGGCGGTTGGAATTCCACCGCTGGCTACCAACACTTTGGGCCACTCTAAGAGTGGCTCCGCTTGCTGCTTATTAAACAAGGTAACCAGAAAAGCGACGGGCCGGAGTCAGGATTTGAACCCTGCCACTGAGCCGCCTGGCCCAGTAGTTGCGTAGATTTTTTTTTGCACAATCGTAGTACAGTACAGCGCAACCCTAAACCTGCGGCGCAATAAATTTAACGAACAACCACTCGCTAAGGAGGCACTCCCCGACCTCCAACGCGTGGCTGTGCGCGCACCTGCTTCTTACTCACGCGACACTTTGACCTCGCGATCTTTTAACCCTTGCAATGCCACGCTACGTGCCCTCGCACCCCGTAACGGTGTGATCGGCACCGAGTGAATGGCGCCGTGGTAACGTGGCGAACACACGCGATCCGATGTTGTCAGGAGGCACAGTTGATGGACTCGACTCACGTCGGCGTATTCTTGGTCGATTTTGGGATCGTCTTTGTCCACGATGAACTCGGGATATCCGATCCGTTCGACGATAGCAAAAGCCTGCAATAGAACAATAGCGTAGATTATCTCTTGGCCATCCGATGGTAATCACGTGCACAGAGGTTGAATATGCTTAATGATGTCATTATATAAAAATTATCTAAATAAATACGGCTTTAACTCAAAAGTGATTTTCTGCTCAAATGAGCAATGAGGTGGTTGCTCCTCTCCTGTTCACAGCTCGGAGCCAGTGGTGGAAATTATACCTTCCTCTCACGGGGGTAAGTCCATCTATAGGACGACAACCAGCGTTGACCTCCCCACAAGGTGGTTACTTATTTTATCGACCATAAATATGATGGGCTGATTCAACCGCCAACCGAGATTTGAACTCGTGGACCTTCCGATGGTGAAACCAGTTGTTTGACCACTGAGTCATCCGAGCGGTTTAATAGCAAAAACATATATTTCTCTGACATTGGTCTTCAATCAAAGTTGTGTTTTCGAATGCAACAATATATCATCCGCTAATTTCCCCACTCCGAGGTTTACCGGCGGCGTGCCGGCGACTGTGACAAGCGTCGCTCACCTTGTCGCGTGCCCTTCCCTTTGTCGCGTCGTCCATCCAGGTAATTTTGTCCAGATTTGCAATGAACACTTCGCGAATCCACTTCACAAGCTCTTGCACCTTTGAGCAATGAACGACGGGCATTAGACGGGCGAGCAGGAGAGTGGCGGTGCATACATCGACACCCATTGTTTACCCAGGCCGGTCACACCACTGAGATCGTGCTGTCACCCTCCTAGAATCTCTCCCAGAATCCAGAATAATGCCGGCGAACAGAGGGGAAAAACATTTTGGCCGTCCGGCAATAAACACCTCGGTCGACATCCAAAATATCGGACGCACCTCCTGGCTTTGACATTCCTCCCACCTCTAAGATACTAGCCGTGGTGGTGGTGGTGGTGGAAACCATCAACCACATCAGAACGTCAATAGTCTGATGCGCACACCTCCTTCATGAATCGAAAAGTAAGGACAGGCCACAGGGCCATTGTGGCCATGCAACCAAGACGATCGACCATATATATAGTGAACCACTGTCGTCTGCGTTCCTTCAATGAAAGAGGAATAAGCGAGAATACACGAACTCTCTCCTGCAGCCCTCTCGCCGTGGCGAGCAGACCTCGACATTGGCATTGAGCTCCTGAACGCGTCGCCATCACACGAAAGAACAGAAACCCGGACCGATGGCCAAGAACGACAGCGGAGTTGAACTTTTAACTCCTCCGCCTGTGGACCATCGCGTTTAATATTTATCTAATGAGTATTTAGTTAATTAAGCAGCCATTGGTTGGATTTGCTCCTCCAGAGGGCACTTGGCCTACTCTTCCACGCTAGCTAGACATCCTGGAAAAGAGTGGGGGGGGGGGGGGGGAGGAGCACCCATACTTTACCCCACCACCCCACGCAAACCTGGTGTGGTGTACCCACCTACGCTGCTGGGACACTGATTCTAACCGGCAACCTCTAGATTCGAGGTCCAGTGTGGAAACCATCGCCCCCACGGTAGCTGCCCTTCAATTCGAAAATTAAACAAAAATAACTCCTAGTACTACTACTACTCACCACTTTTTTGCTGTCTCCGGCGAATGCTTCCTCCACGTAGAGAGCTCCCACAGCGTTGGAGAGGATGTTGTTGACGTAGCTGCTGCAGCTCCTCCAGCGAGCCTTGTCCGACGTTGTTCCGTACAGAGCCTAAGAGAGAGAGGGGCAGGGAATGGGTCACCTGCAACTCACAGGGCCCCGGTCCTCCATCTCTAGATGGAACGCACATTCTTTAGAACTGCTTTTTGTGTTTAGTTTGTTGTCCTTACCCCACACCTCTGATAAGCACGGTGCAAAATAAGCTCAACATATATATATAAACATACAAACACTCACTAGGCATAGACGTAGTGACACACATATACAAGTCCAGCTGCGTTTACTTGGAATTGAGGCGTCACTTTTAGCGGATTGATGATTCTTGCCATAGCTTGCCCGATGCATAGATACGTGCTATATCATGCACGTAAATATGTATGCATGCTTGCATCGCGAGCTTAAAATACATCGTCACGCCAATGCGAAGTACCTTGCGAAATTCAGCTCTGGCATCCTTGAACTTTTGACTGAGGGATTCCACGTGTTCCACGGTGAGCATCCAGACGATGTAGTTCTGAATCGTGCTAAACCAAACACGCAAACAACAGCAACCATAATCACCAACAATCAATAAGTGCCTACACCTATACTTGACAGTTTCTTTCACCAGGCTGTCAGGAGACTCAACTCCCTCCCTGCTCTACCATCACTCCCCCCCTCTGCCCACCCACCCCCCTTTGCCCCCTGACCCCAACCCCCCCACACACACATTCACTCGTACATCCTGATCTCTGGACTGCACATTGCACTACATCGCACTACCACACTGGTTTAAATATCTTATTTCTTTAAATACTTTATTTTAATAATATTTTACATTTTAAAAATTCTTGACTGTTGTTTATTTTAAGTTTATTACATTTTTGATTATTTATCTTGTGTTGATCGCCGATTGTTTATTGTTTATTTATGTCTGTTAATTGTGATTAATTTTTTAATTGCTTGGTTGCACCGTGGGACCAAGAGAGAGGACTGTAATTTCATCTGTGTTGTATGTCATGCATGTAACACACTTGACAATAAAGTAACTTTAAGACTTTAAGACTTTAAGACTTGCCCATCGACCTTCTCAGTGACAGGTGGAAAACCAGAAGGCCGCGGTGATACATCAAGAGGATTTGGTGGAGGATGGGGAAAACTCAATGGAAGCCAGTTTCCATTCAGAGCCCATTTCAGTTTTGAATATAGATGTACAATGCTAAGGGTGGAGGCAACGGCACAGCGGTTAATACACAGCGCTATGAACCCAGCCACCCAAGTTTGACTCCTGCCCATGGCTAAGTAACATCGGTGGCGAGTGATATCAAAACCGGTTCCGCCCTCCTCCCCACCCCTTCACCAACCCGGCACCGACTTAGCGCGGTGAAATATGTTCAGGCAACGCCCATGACCAACACGGTGTGACGGTTGGGGAGGCATTCATCCAGCTGTGGATTGACAAAAGGGCTCTAAGTTATGATTATACAACGCATCCCCTGGACCTTATGTAGGCGTCTAGGACCCCATCGTGTAGCCCTTTGATCTCTCTCACTCGTCGATGCTTCCCTGCCCTCACCCACTTCCCAGTGTTGTTGCCTACGCTGCGTTCGGCATCTCGAGATGCCGTTGGACGTGGACTTGTTTACAAAGCGACGGGATTGTCATTGTTGTTAACCTCGAAAACAAAGAGGCTGATGAGAGCCGATCGGAGTGCTCCTGGGAAGGCTTGAATTTGATTGCGAAAAGCCAACCAACTGACGTGTTTAACCCTAGCATGCTGCGCGTTGACATTGCGGCTCGGATACGTGGAAACTGACGAAGAGCATTGAACAAAATTAGAGCGACCGGTTCGCAAAACGAGACCGCAGAACGATACCCAGCTGTCTACAAACTAAGTTGTGTCTGCGGTAGTAGTGACATTGGGGAAACGAAACGACATGTCTCGGACCGTGTTCGCAAACACAAGGCAGATTTGGAACACGGCAGAACCAATACCTCTGCAGTGGCTGATCATTGTTATAACGCAGTGGGCTCGCACGATATTGTTTTTTCCAAGACCAAGGTACTCTGCAAACATTCGGGCTACCATCAAAGATTTGTCCATGAAGCCATCCAGATATATAAACACAGAGACAATTTCATCCGAGAAGATGGGTATAAGCTGAGCAATCACTGGAAGGATGTTATTAACCAAGCAAAGTCGTAACTTGTTGTGGTGCTTCCATTATTCTCTGCCGTTTGGCTGTTACCTCCGACTCTCTGAGTTGCATTGCCCTGTTAGGTGCCTCTGCATTAACGGGCTGGGGTCTCACTAACATGGCCACCTCTGCTCCCTTAGCCTCGATGTAACGATGGTTCTGGCTGTGTGATGGCTGCGTGTCTCACTGGCGCGACCACCGTTGCGGTGGTTCTCTTCCATGCACGCGCTTGCCTCACAGCGCAGTTGGCAGTGCCGCAGCTTGTGTTACACATAGACATGACATTAACTTGCTAATCCCCCTAATCTCCCTGGCTAATCTCTCCCATCAACAGAGTGCTAATCTCCCATGAACACTGCTGTTGTGCGCATATGCGGGGAAGATACTCTTATGCGGCGACGGAAGCTCATTTCATGCTAATCTCTCTCCCTAATCTCTCTTTCCCTAATCTCCCCCATTAACACAACTGACGTGCTTGAGTCCAGGGATTGAATTCCTTTCCAGCTCAGACCCCACTTGCTTGCCCATCACCACGTATATAATCTCTTGTTGTAACAGCTCTCTCGCTGGTTCAGCAGTTCCACAGCTGGATTATTTTTTCCGCCAAAGGACGACCGCTTGTGTTGCGATCGAAACGAAGTGATATATTAATTTTTTATTTTATTTTTCTACCTACGGTGACTTTACGGAAAGAACCAAAGAGTATGGATTCCTGCAGTCACGAAAGCTTCAAATCAAGAGTGTTTTGTATCGTTAACAGAAATCAAGTAAGGTTGCAAGATTGTGGTGTGCACATCACGCAGGCAAACGATAACATAATCAAGTTCCATCGCGTAAATATGAGATGTAGGTACCTCGGTGTTTCGTCTTCCAGGATGGTTTTCAGTTTGATCAGGTATTCGGGTGCATAGACCACGATCTTTTCGGCATTACCAATATCTTTGATACCAATAAACATTTCTTTCATGTAGGCGAGCCAGGAAAAATTCTGAAAGTATCAAAGAGTAAGTTGCGACATTATAATACATATAATCAACCTTTAATCAAAGTAGAAAATAAGTATGCAACGTAAAGTTGTTGCACATTAACCACCAGGCAACTTTGGGGAATTTAGACTACGTGCAAAAGCAATCAGGGTAATGAAGGATTGGGGAATTTTAGCAAGTCTCACATAAAACCTAAAATATGCCACGAGTCTCGATTTATTTAAATGCTTAATTAAACCACACTTGCAGATGCGCTTCTGCGGGCGTCTGGAACTCTTTTCCTTCCGATATTAGGAAGCCATTGAAGCTATACACTTTCAAATAATCTAGATTGACAAACTCGTTTCTTTACAACTGTCTTCTGTGTTTAGTTTGTTGTACTTCCCCCATTACCTCCGTTGAGCACGGTTGGCTACGTACCGCGGTGTGAAAGAAGTTCAACATACACACACACACGCCTGCGAGAGGACCTTCTCTACGAACTGGTGGCGCGCTGTGTTTATCTGTGGGTGTGCCCGACTGCGCTGCGATGGGCAAGCGCCACGCTGGCTGCTGCATCCCCTCTTCTCGACTCTCCGTGTGCACAATTCGTAAGCGTACGTCGTAATTCGTTGGCAGACCGTCAGACGTTCGTGCATACACGTGCCAGTTACGCGTTTGCTATGCGTGTGTCACTTGACACCCTGGGCCAACCCTTGCAAATCAAATGTTTCCATCGCAAGGGATTTTCCCGGTATGTATACATATACAAAAATACAAATTTAAAGTTAGAAATGTCAGTTTCAGGCGGTAGGATTTAATTGTTGTTTACAGCTATTCAGATGTAGAGAAATTATGTTTGAGATTTCGGAATCCCACGATATCTCGTGTATCTCGTGATGTTTTGGGAACTGGAGTAGCTTCAAATGTTTGCGGTTTTGGCTTTGCGTTCCAAAATTAGCAAGGCTATACAATGGCACAAAGTCAAACTGAAGTGTATCTGTACTGAAACAAGAACTTAGGTGGCGTTAATCTCCTTTGTCAGCGCTTAAACTGCAGTGTAAGTGGTACATATTTTATTATGCTTCAAGGAATGATTGGCCAAGTCGACTTTTGACCAAACTGATCTCATAATCTTCTGACCGTGAGTTGAGTGCTTGAACGACAATGTCCCTTTCGCTGGATATTTATACAGCTCGCGCATATATATTTAACCATGAACATATTTAAAACAATGCATAATTAATTCCCAGTTAATCATGTAGTATTTCACTTACCCATAGACGACAATGACTGACTGTCTGAACGAGTGACTGACGTATATTGCAATGATGTTCGACACGAGTGAGAGAGTTAAAATGCGTTGCAACCACAGCCAAATCGATGCCAATAACAAGAAAATCGGATCACAAAAAAGGGACGCATTTTTAACCCGCCTAATTACATTACAGTTGATTGACTGGTTTTGCTCTCAGGGTTGTCTCTGTCCGGAATTGCTTGAAGTCTAATTCTAAAGACGTTCAATCTGAATCGTCAGCGGTGGTCTAACCAATTCACCTTCTTGAGGCCGTGAGACGCGACATCCGTTATGAGAAAAGGACCCTCCCGAGATGATCTTCTTTTAACCCCTCGACCCACGCTGGCCACAGACACCTTTGAAGATGTGGGAGTGCCCACTCTTTACCCCACCAGACATGACCTGCTGATCAACTAACTGCGGTGGATGGAGGTGATTGGGAGGGGGGGGCACGGTGGGTGGGTGGCAAGGTGGGTGAGGCGCTGTCAGTTGTTTCAACTGCAGGCAGCAGCGGGAGGAGATGGAATTGAACTGGCAACCGTTGGTGCTGCAAGTCCAGTGCGTACCGCTGGAGGTGGCACCACAGCAGCGGATATATGATGACCACGCGTGGAGTGCAAAGCCAATTTAAATCGTGGAGCTCCGTGCTACTTACGCCAATGCTGTAGTTGGCGCTGAGCTCTGATAGACTCATCTTGTGGTAGAGCAATGTGATATCGGTCCTGTTCTCATCTGGGGTAGATGCCTAGTGGAACGAAACAGGCACACGTCGTTATTATGATTGCTATTATGAGATATTCACTCCGATACATTGACACACAATGGAGTTATCAGTCATTCAGGAGTCACACGATCATTAAGACCATGATTGCCAAATGTAACTTTTTTAAAGTGTGAGCTTTTACATATATGGTACTTGTGTGCGTGCAGTACCAGTGTGTGTATGGACTGAAATGAATTTGTAAACAAGGTGAATAGATGGGCCGGGGATCAGAGCTGAGTTTTATCATGAAGTTTCAGCCGCCCATGAATAAAAACCGGGCTATGAAGCTGTTTTGAGTTGATGGCTACCAAACCCCGTCATCAATAACTGCACACACAACAACAACAAAACATTCGTTTAAATGTTGGTTTGTTACCTTAATTGTTAATCGTGACAACAAATAAAAACATCGGTTTAGCCGTTATTCCGCAAAATTTTTTCCTGTAACAGACCATTCGAGAAAGTGCAACCCTAATGTGTTGATAGAGAGAGGTGAATGTGAAGGGATATCAGAAGTAGTTCTGTGATATCTCCTTCCACGGGCGATTCTCGAGCACGGAGTTGCTCATCCGTATCACGACGTTGGCACCAACAGCCCAATTTGAATAATACTCGGGAAAATACATTTAAAAAAGAAAATTACAAATTATATCTATTTTTAAGATTTAGTCTCCGGTCCTCTTATCTGACAACCAATTTATGCTGGGGTTCTTTCATTGGTTTGCACAATTTAACGAGGACACGTTCAACGAGCCAATTGGCATACACGGATATCATCGCACTTATAATGGTAAATCCCGCATTCCGATGATGTTCTTGGCTGGCTGCACAGACTTGATCCACGCTCGGAAAAAAGTTGCCTTTTTCCACACTACCAGAAGGAGATTGCGTTGATGTTGAACACGCAGAGCAAATGAGAAAGCCACTGAAATAATCCACCACCAGTGTGCACACAAGTGCTTCAACAATCAGCACACGTCTCGTCTCACCGGTGGTGGCCTTCGATTCTCACTTTCTTCCCCACCAGCAAGAACCGCAGTGTTTACATTCCCAAGACAAAGTCAACAAAACGAAATTAACTTTGCCTCCTTAAACGAGAGCTCAAGTTTACGGGGCAAACTCAAAACGACGAAAACATATTTAAGCGCACGGCATCGCAAACTCAGTCCCTTAACCGTCGCGGTCGGGGTAACGCGTAGTCAGGATAACGTGTTGTCAGGGTAACGCGTAGTCGGGGTCTAGTGTAGTCGGGGTAACGTGTATTTTGTTCAACACACCGTTGCCACAGACCCGTTTAGCGCTCATAGATGAGACGCATGCTGTTGACGCAGAGCCGTGCTTCTTAACCTTTCTTGCAGCCCTGCACCCCTTTGGCCCTCTGAGAGGGCATCTGGCACCCCCAGGGTGGTGCATGCAACCCAGGTTAAGAACCACTGACGTAAAGGAACAAGGCGGTAAAAACAATCGGGACCGCCTGATTTGCAAGTTGACGCCAACTTACTTCGGCAAGTTTTTTTTCAAAGTTGAAGAGCCCCTCCATTTGTTCCCGCACGAACACATCATCGTCAGGAATCGACTTGTCTCTCCGCACGATGTTGGCGATCGACACGATGAAATCTTTGTATGCCTCCCGAGCCTAAACATCAAAACGCGATCATTAATATCATAATCATATTTATAATCATAAATGTGCAAAATGATGATGATGAAATCAGAGTTAGGTGCAAAATCCTTGTCAAAATGTCATCGACGTCGTTGATGTCACGCGACGATTCGCATTTGCAGGCTAAGAAAATTCCCCAGCATCTCAACGCGCCTTATCACATTATCTCATATCAACAATTCCATTGACCTGGAGTGGTCTAGGCTAGGGAACCCCGCCTAGCGGCAGCCATCCCTGCGAGGCACACGGTGTATGCAGCACCGGTCCGCAATTCGGTATTGTCTAACAGTCGAGGGCAGGTCAGCGTGATTTCAATAATCTATACAAAATAAACTATTTTTTATCTTACCAGGTAAACCCCACTGAGCTATATAGCTATTTTTTCAGAAGCGATCTAGCTATCACAAATGATAGCTCAACGAAGTGGCTCATCGCGTGGAAATGATAGCAGTTGAATACTCTAAACGCATGTTTTTAAATGTGGAGGGGAAAACCGGATGATCTGGAGAAAGATCCACGTGACCACGGGGAGAACATGCAAACTCCAAATACACAGCAGCAGGCGTCAGGGTCTGGATGACCAAATGCCTATTACCAATAAAGCCTGCGCCGATTGTGCAAGCTAAAGGGGCATAAGCCTGGTTACTACTTGGATGGGAGACTGCTTAGAAACACAAAGGTCGATTTAAAGCTTTCGTGACTGCAGGGATTCATCTTCTTGGTTCTTTCGGTAAAGTCACGTAGAAGGGAAGTAATAAAATAATAAAAATAAAACATAATAAAATAAAATAATTCTCACGACGTTTCGGCTACAACGCAAGCAGCCGTCTTCAGGTGAAGAATGAGACACTACCAAACTAGGAGCTTATATATAAGCTGCGTTGGAGGTGGAAGAGCGCCTTAACAAAAAGAATGTGCATATGAATATGCTAAATTCCTCTTCATATGCACATTCTTTTTGTTAAGGCGCTCTTCCACCTCCAACGCAGCTTATATACAAGCTCCTAGTTTGGTAGTGTCTCATTCTTCACCTGTAGACGGCTGCTTGCGTTGTAGCCGAAACGTCGTGAGAATTATTTTATTTTATTATGTTTTATTTTTATTATTTTATTACTTCCCTTCTACGTGACTTTACCGAAAGAACCAAGAAGATGAAACACAAAGGTGTTTCAGGCCTGCGTTGCTCGGTGGCAAGTGGATTGGCAGTACAGCAATGGGCTTGGATCCATCTGTGTGGAGCTTCGAGTTATCTCCCTGCTATGAGCATGGACTTTCCTCTGGTTACTCTGCTCCCTTCCCACATGCCGAGCACTCGTAAACGGTCCTGACCAATCGCAGCACTCGGCGTAGAAACTCTGACGTGTTTCCCCAGTTGCCTCCCTCCGACAGACACCTCCAGTTGCTTAGAGAACTGTCTGCACGTGACTTTTGTTTCTCTCAAAGTTAACTCGTGTCCCACTTTGCAGCACCACGCCAAGGAAATGTGAATTGATGGACTAAGTGGACCACGAATCGAATGTGATCTTGGGGCCAACTTTCAATTGCGAGCCGAGCACATTGACCCCGCGATGAGTTCCCTGGAAATAGATGGCACGGAGGGCAGCGTAATTGACTTGTAGCGATCAAAGAGTTCAGCGAGGCCTTCAGAAGTTGTATTGCATTGTACGTTGCCAACCGTGCTAATCGGAGGTGCGGGAAAAGGGGGCTGCCGTATGGTTTCTCTGACGCGGATTCACGGAGACATGAATCCACGGTTCCCCCAGAACGAAGCTCCAGGCACGTTGAGCGAAACGTCGGACGTCGCAGCAAACGGCGGGCAAACGGCGTGCGAAGCGAATCCAAAAGACGCGCCGGGCGAGGTCGAGAGGGCTTTGTTGGCTTTTTATTTTTGCTGTAAGTTGTACCTTGACGTAGCTTGCTGTCGGTGAGAAGTAATAGTCTCTGGAGGGCAGACCAAAGCCTGGCTGGTCGATCTGGAATGAGCAATGCGAAGAGAAAGTTCGTGTCACACCACGCACACACGCACGACGCACACACACACACACCACATTCATCATATAATGCGTCGGGCTCAAAAGAAAATACGTTACAAGGTCGCATATCCGACAGTGACTTATCCGCCCTGACCAATTAATGGCCTACACGTGCACCCAGTGCAGTAGCTGTAATTGGAATGTTCTGCAGACGTTCACATATCTGACTTGTTCACATATCTGCCTGTACATCAGTTGTGGAATGGCTTGAATGCTAACGCGTCGAGCACTATGCTCTCGCGCCAAAGGCAAAGATCCCCCGTGTAGCCTTGAACAGACTGTTGGGGCAAGTGCTGTTAGCGAACACCAATGAAGGCTGGAATGGCACACTCGGGGGTCGGGTGGCCAGCACCACGCCCGGCCGCCTTTGTCTCCCTAGTGGAGATAATTACACACTGCACCAGGCTGAGTCACTGGCGTTGGCTGTGAAAGGGAATTGAACTCGGTTCGCCGGGTTATTAGCGCAAATGCGCCCACCACTGCAGCACCACTCCTCCCACACACACACACACGCATGCGTGCGTCACTCACGTGGATGATGTAGGAGGTTGAGTTTTTGTCATCGATCCCGACGTAGGTGTTGACGATCGGTCGCACCCTGTACTTCTTGGCCAGATTTGCAAGGTTTTTCTCCAAGATCCACGTGGGTCCTGTGGGGTGGGAGCGAAATAAAAATCCCAAACAATCCCGACTGTAGAAAAATATATATATTGTGCTGGGGATGCTGCTGCACCTGCGTTGGCAGTGGTGTTCGAGCCCGCCTGACGAATATACACTCAACACGTTCGTCAGCAAACACTCCGCGTGTGAACTTCAAATAAGTATAACCCGTAAAAACAAAGTTTTTCACTATAAATCCTTTATATGCGTGGCATCGGTTTTATTTTATTATTCATTTGTGTTTTTCTTGAGTAAGAGTTTCATTTTTATCACATTGGTATTTTAATTTAAATATAAAAAAAAATTTTCCTAAAAAGTGGAAAATTTTGGAAAAAAAATTTTCACGAAAATAAATTGTCACTCACAACGAGTCTGTGTGCAAAATATCAGCTCGATTGGATCACGGGAAGTGGGTTAAAAAACGACCGAAAGATTTGCACGGTCGTAAGCGCGCAAGCAAGCAAGTGAACTTAATATAAAGGATTTAAAAGGGAAACGTACATGACATTAGACGTTTCGGGCTAATGGCCCTTCTTCATGACACCTTCCTCGTATGAGAATGCGCGTGCTATGAGGAAGGCGCATTGCCCCAAAAGCGTGCCTATGACAGGGGTGGAAATGTATCCGTTCATTTTTTAAGGCAGCCTTAATGATGAACGCGTGAACGTTGCAAACTCCGTCGACGCAGCAATTGCGACGCGGCGTACTTCGGGAAAAAAACACAGAGCGATGGCAAAAGCACGCACCTCGCGAAAAAAAAACCCATCGTCGTCGATTTTAAAAACTAAACACAAACGGCTCAAGCGACATCGACAATCGAGCGGAACGTCAGCGTCGTCGCGCAAAGGCTACGGCTGCTAGGCGCCTTGACAATCGGCGTGGAAAGATTTCGCTCGTTGTTGAATCTGGCTTCTGCGGGATGAGCGAAAGCAAATCTCTCACGGGATGGGTTCTATTTTATTTAATTGCTGCACAACAATGCAAGCGTCCTACGTTTCGAAATGGTTCAGCGTCCACTCGATCACACGCGGCATCGTCCAGAGCTCAGCAGATTTTTTTTTCCGAGTCTAAATTCCAACGCGCACGTCGTATCTGGGCTCCGCCGCGAATGAGATACGGTATCTTAATGACAAGCTACCCAAGCGTTTAGCGAAGGTCAAATCCGTTTACTCAATTCTAGTCGGGGGGGGGGAGGGGCCAACCACGTGTTTGTTAAGTGCCTTTTGACCGCAAGCCATTCGATTGATTTTTAAGAGGAACATTTGTGAAGAGTAATTGTAAGAGCATACACTATTAAACAAGCAAAACGACTTTTTTTGGGGTTAGATTGCGTAAATATATAAATGTGTCGTTAAACCCGCCACCACCCGACACAGACAATTAAGGTTTTTCACGTTAACATAACATGCCAATTCGTTACTATTACAGCACACAACTTATATTTTCAATAATTTGCACCCCTGTGTCAATCCACTGCTGGATGACGTCTCCCTCCAGGCAACATCCGTTGACCATACTTCACAACCCCTTGCTGGTGTGGGGTTGGTGGTGAACTGAGAGCCCTCAACCGTTTCATATATCGCTCAGCAACTGGCGTGAGCTGTTGCCAGGAATCGAGCTCAGAACGTGGGGTTCATCAATAGTGCAGCGCGCTAACCGCCGTGTGCCAGTCCGCTGTGCCAGTATGCCGAGCGCCGTGCGCGTGCTCCGTGTGGCACGCGCCCGAGAGGAAGTGACGTCCACATTACCTTGGGTCGTATTCCAGTCCGCGGTTGCGATCGGCCATTCATCCACATCTCTAAGAAGTTCGAGCAGTGGCTGGGAATTGAGGGCTTCGATTTTTTCTGCCACACACAAACAAGGGCATCTTCATTTATTTTGTTCACCGCAAGGAACGCTGCGGCATTTATCGATGCAAACTCTGACATTATTGCGTCTCAATCATGCCTCTCAGACAGAGGTTAGCTTGTCGCTCATTCTCCGCGTCGTAAAATACTACCAAGTGGGAGGTCACTCCTTCTCCTCTGCTGTCCTCACTGTCTGGTACTCCTCCCCTTGACCAATCGCCTGAGGCCTTATCGAGTCCAAGTTTAAGTTCAAACTCAAGAGACAGCTGACCACCCCAGCCGACCGTCCACCACCATTCTCAGATTTTCTACGGTGCCTTGAGATTAACACGTGCCTCTTGATGTATCACATGGCTACAAAAGTATTCCCATTGTATGGTAGAAGGAATCACATCGTGCTTTCACCTTGATCGATGCAAGAGGCGTAGAGTGTCCTTGATTTCTTGTAAGCATCACGTGCTGCATCATCAGACTTCTCCAGAACAGCTGTCAGAGCAGACATCCACCAAGTCACGTGAACTATGATATTTTAACGGTCAGCCAGAATAATTAAATAGAATGTGTTACCTTATTATCCGGACTTTACAATGCGAGGACGCATGCCAAGCATATACTCAATGCCAATAAGGTCACACAAGTCTGGTAAAACAATTCAAAGACAAAGATCGCCCATATAGCGTTTAACAGCCTGTCGGGGCAAGTGCTGTTAGTGATCATCTATGAAGGCCGGAACAACACACGAGGGGGTGGGTGGCCAGCACCACGCCTGACCGCCTTTGTCTCCCCAGTGGCGATGTTTACACACCACACCGGGTACTCATGTATGGCCGAGTCAACCCAGGGGAGGCCTGAGAAGGGGTCAAGATATTAGTCACTGATGTTGGCCATGGAGCGGGTAATTGAACTCGGGTGGCCGGGTTCGTAAGCGCAGCACGCTAACCGCTGCGCCACCGCTCCCCACAAACACAAATCTGATCACAGACACACACTGACCAACCCCGACTTTTGCATGAAATATACAGAGGGGCAAGCGAGGAAAGTGCACCTAATAATAATAATAATCATCATACAACTGTAACGTTTAGATGAATAAATATTTGCAGAAATGAAGATGCTATTGAAAGACAGGTAAACATTTTTATCTTGAGAAGACGTGTTTTCTTCCTTGATTAAACTCTCCAAGCAGAGTACTAAAACGCAATGCTTGAAGCAGTGGTGTGGATGCCACATTGTAGGGATTTTCGTCAACTGAGAATCACCACCTACGTTTTACATGAACGGGATATACATTCTAATCCGTACATTTAGTTTAATTTATTGAGCTTTTGAGTCAGCTGGCCAGGATTGGGCAAGGATCATAGCCTCTAGATTTGAAGCTTTCGTGACTGCAAAGATTCATATTCTTAGGTTTTTTCGGTTAAGTCACGTAAGTAAAACATCAAAATAAAAAAAAAATAATAATAAAAATCACGACGTTTCGGAGGCCTGTGTTGCCTCCGAAACGTCGTGATTTTTATTTTTATTTTATTTTTATTTTGATGTTTTACTTACGTGACTTAACCGAAAAAATCTAAGAATATGATCATAGCCTCACCACCTTTCACCCAGACAACAGGATACAGAGATGTTAACTACCTCGCCTGGTATACAGGAGGTTGTGGGTTCGGTCCCGACCCTGACGCCTGCTGTATATTTGGAGTCTGCATGTCTCTCTCTCAGCATCATCACGGTGGCTAGGAGATGTTAACTACCTCGCCTGGTATACAGGAGGTTGTGGGTTCAATCCCGACCCTGACGCCTGCTGTGTAGTTGGAGGTTGCGTGTCTCTCTCTCCCTGTGGTCTTGTGGATTTTTTTCCGGTCCTTCGGTTTTTCCCTCCATATTTAGAAACATGCGTTTCGAGTATTTGGCTGCTATACATTTCCACGTGATGATAAGCCACTTCGTTGAGCTTATCATTTGTGGCCCGGTCGCTTCTGAAAAAGATCTATCTAGCTCAGTTGGCCTTACCTGGTAAAATAATAAAGACATATTTTAGTTTGTTTATTTGGACTCAATAAATTAATCAACGGTCGCTTCGAGCAAAGTCGTTATGGTTTGGGCTGCGCGTTGACCATCTCGAGTTAATGTTGCATGCCCCGGTGAAAACTCAAGTGACCAGGACTTAGTCTAATTTGCCACAGTGAGCTGTGGTAGTGAAACTGTGCCTTCTCCCGAGCTCACGCCACCCACTACTGCGGACCATCTTTGAGCAAGCGGGTTAGGAGCAGCGGCCGTGTAACGCTCACAGTTTGAACACCGCTTGGCGATCGTTTTTTTACCTTTCAGGACAACTTCCAATTCATCTCTCAGGATGTCAAAGACACCGTAACGAGAGCTGGTTTCTGGGATGATGTTCTTTTTGAGCCATCCTCCGCAAGCGTACTTGTAGAAATCCTTGCAGGGGTCCGCGCTCGGGTCCATGTTCTCCAGGATTCGTGCCGCTAAGAAAACGAGAATCATCGCCACCATCAACATCATTATCGGTGTGAAAATAATCGTCATTATCATCATCATCATCATCATTAAAATCATCATCATCATCATCATTGAAATAATAATCATCATCATCATCCCAAAGCCATCCGCTGCTCAGCAATGAGCCACAACTGGCGTGCGATGCATCCCAGGAGAGCATTGTGAATGCTACTTTAATTTTTTCCCCGTCATTTGGAATAACAAAAATAAATATTGGCTACATTTTGACAAATACCACCGGCCCGGAATGGCTGACTCTTGTGAATACTGTCGCGTGCTCGTTAGGCGTTTAATAAGCAGCAGGCGGAGCCACTTCTTAGAGTGGCCGAAAGTGTTGGCAGCCATTGGTGGAATCCCAACCGCCAAGCCCCAAAGAAAAATATCCCCCGTGTAGCCTTAACATGCTGTTAGGGCAAGTGCTGTTCACGAGGAGCAACTATGAAGACCAGAATGGCACACGAGGTGGTGGGTGGCCAACACCATGCACGGCAACCTTTGTCTCCCCAGCGGCGATGTTTACTACACACCGCACCAGGTACTCATTTGAGGCTGATGCAACTTAGGGAGGCCCAGGACCGGTTCAGATAATCGTCACTGGTTGTGGCCGTGAGTGGGATTCGAACTCATGTCGCCAGGTTCGTAGTGCAGCACAATAACCACTACACTACCCTTCCCCATATATACATATATAACACACATACACACACAAGAGGAGACTCTTGATCAATATATATCGCTATAGCTTGCAACATCAATCACTCCATCATCTGATGGATAAGCAACTGGGAGCCCAATTGCCAGCAGTCGAGTGAGCGGCTCGCAATCGTACGGTTCTGAGTTAAAATACTGGATGGGGGTTGATTCAGACCATCATCCCTCTGGGCGTCGATAAAATGAGTACCACAGTGGGGAAGTGAACAGTGGTTGTCCTGTGGATAGACTCATCCCTGTCATAGGAATGTGGAATCGCCACCCCTGGCTCAGGGCTGCAAAAAGGCGATGAGTGCGGCGTGAATGCTCGTTTGCTAAGGAAGTCGCGTTGCATTTTAAGAACCCAATGAGAGCTAATATTAACTCTCGTTTGTGGCTGTCAAGTGAGCAGTGAATGGATTGTGTCATCAAAAACGTGGTCGGCTACATGCGTAGTCATGTGGACAGACAAAACTAACAGCAATCACGCTGGGAGGGTAATTGCCACTTGCTTCAGAACGACGAATAGTGACACACACAGAATTGTACTTGTCACGAGTTACATAAGAACAACCGCACTCAGTGACATCGTCCCTCGACTGAGCGTACCACAATGTGGGTGTGCGACATGGAATCCCACAGCATTGTGAAGATTGGTCAAATAATTCTTATGGCCGACATGGGATTTGGGTGGATGGTTTTCCTTCATCCAACAGTGGATTAACAAAGGGCTGTGAAATTATTATAATCTGAATCTGACGAGATTATGTGGCTGCAACAATAAAGTGCCATAACTGATGATGATGATGATGAAGAAGTCACTTTGATGGGCCATCATGTGTGCCCACTAAAACAACTGCTCATAGCTCATTGTGGCCCTTAGCTGGTTTCAAATAAATACGAGGCAAGGTGCAGGCACTGACGATAGTTTAACAACAGCTCACTCAACATCGCTTTTTCATGCCGGGCACTTCTGATCAACATCTGACTAAAACACGGCTCCACTTGTTCACTATTCCGAACAAAGGATGAAAGTGTCCACGCATTAGTTCCGTCCGTCTGTCAACCAGGGAGCACTCTGTAACTCTCACGAACCTCGTCCTGCGCATGTCTGGAAGAGTTCCAATTGACATTTTAAGTGTATTGCTAGATTTTCCATTATACCTACCATGATCTAGCCCAAAAGAAACCAATTTAGAAATCGTTCAAATAATCCTCATGTCATTTTTGCACCTAACAGGAACGCGTTAACGCCACGCAAACGCATTTCTTTTTTATCTCTCTGTAACTTCTCATTTATTGAACGTTTGCTTCGTCATCAATGCATCTGGCTGATGAATGCAATCACGTGGGAGGATTGTCTGCGGGGCGCGCCACTCGTTGGAACTTTCTGACCGTGTGCCCCACTACTGGACATCTGTGAAAAAGAGCGCCATAGTTCATCGGATTCCGCCAGTCTCGATAAAGATTCTGATTCTGAATTTAATACTCCAGAGCTGCTGGATGCAAAGCAAACTACACCCCCCCTCCACTCGTCCCCCCCCCGAATCAAACAATCGAGAATTCAAACGCGATATGAAATGGGACCGAATTGTACTTTGGAGCACAATTCAAAATCCACAGCAATACGTCCATGTGTAACAATGCGCACTGGCGCTGGGAGGCCAGTAAACGGGTCCTTCCATTGTGGCGAGCGGCTTGCCTCTACTGTATTTCAAGGAATGCGCATTGGGATCTGTTTGTCTCATCACTTTGGGCGAACGGAAATTCTGATCGGGGACAAGTGGGGGGCGGGCGGGTAGCACGCTCTTGCCACAAGGCGAGGGTGAGAAACAGTGATAAGTTAACGCAGACGTAGGGCCCGGGGCACAAGAAGGCCGTCGCACACTCACCTGAAACGGTGCAGTCTGGGCTCGTGCAGACGCTCGGAGCCGGGGGAGTTGACGGCTCTGCAGTTGACGTCTCTGCAGCAAACGCACAAAAAAAACACGCAATATTGATGCCAACGATACATCGATGATGATGAAGTATTCGGTAAGGCTGTTGATCTTGCAGGCGTGCAGATCTAATTTGAAGGAACTAATATTGGATGCATAATACTCTTTGATTATTTCGGTAAAGCCACCTACGTGACTTTACCGAAAGAACCAAAGAGTATGGATTGCTGCAGTCACGGAAGCTTCAAATCAATAATGGATACGCAATGTTGCTTGGGAGTCTGTTTTAATTGTCATTTTCAATGAACGTGCGTTTACTTCGCTGTTACACTCAAATACCGAGCTTACTTGCACCTGCACCTCACGTTCTCTGGTGCCTCTTGCTCTCATGTTATATTTGCACAGTTTTCATTTACTTATTCGCGCTCCTTTCATTTACGACCATGAAACACCCCTTTTGTTCATGATAAAACGCTCCTTAAGGGCCATGTACACTTTCCCCTCGCTCTATGCGGTGGGAGAAGTAGATGCATTCCGCAAAAAAAGATCCAAAAAGCGAAACCGTGCGTGGAGAAAGCTGCCTGCCGAGTAGAAGATAGAGTAGAAAAAATGATATCTCACGTCTGTCCGCGTTGCAGCATATGAGTGAATTCTAACCGCGCATTGCGACTTTTGAGTAGAAATAGGTGTGCCCGCATATGCGCCAAATCGCACAAACCGAATCCCGCGTAGGGCGAGCGAAACCCTCGTTCGGGTGTTTGTGTCTTTTGTGTGTTGCTGTGATCACGGCACCAGGGGGATCTCCCTTCGTGAAAACATCCGGGCGCAGCTGGCCTAATGGGGTCATTGGTGTGACAAATAAAACAAACGTGTTGGCGTTGGGCGAAAAAAAATCGCAGAAACAAAATCGAGCACTCCTTCATTTTCCCGTTATGCCCTTCCTACTCCGGTGTTCCACTCCCGTGCGTTTGCGTCCAAGGGGGGCACCCGGCGGACGCTCTCTCCGTTGCTTCCACACAATCCCCGGGTGGGGGGGGGACGTTTACCGGACCGTGTCCCCCGGGGCAGCAATCAGCCCGTTCGATGCGCGACGCGGGGGGTGAGCAGGGCGGCGGCGGGGGCGCGATGGGGGAGGGGGGGGGGGGTGCCCGCGCGAGTGTGAGTGCGAAAGGTCATGAAAGCAACGAACCCTTGGTGGCAAAGAGGACGATGAACACGATCAGGGCGATGGCCAGAAGTCCCACGGTGACGGACAGGCCGATCACCTTGGGGTCAGCTCTCTTCTTGGACATGCTTGCTGCTCACGATCGCTGCCCTTTAACCTCTTGTCTTGACCTTTACGCGAGACCGAGCACTGCGAGCAAACCACGCGAGTTTGGAGCACGCACACACGCGCGTGAACACGCGACAAACAAAAACCACAAATCGAAGGTCGCTCACACATTCCAAGGTTATTCAAAGTTTCCAGGTGCCCTCCTTGCACTTTTTTTTACAGCCGTGTGTCTAAAACACAGAGTCCAAGCCGCTTGGGCTCACGTTTTGACGTTTCTTTTTTTTCTGTTACTTTGAATAACATTTCTTAAGCGCAGGCTAAAGGGATGAATGATTGATCTGTGTAAGTGGAACCGATTAGAAATCCCGTCGAGCATTGCCTGTTTATTTAGTTGAGAGCAACGTGTGAATGGTTAACCGTTTAGCTGGAATAATGATGAGCCGTTAACTATATTTGCGTAAAATATTAATTCTTTACACATTGAACGAAATCTGTGTTTTAATACTAGATATGAAATCGTGACTGGATCGAGAAAATGTATATTGAACATTCAATTGAGTATATCTATTGCACGTAATAATCGTGTGATTTAAAGTAATAAATTATACTCCCACCTCGACCAATATGTGCGGATCTTCACCCTCCCTCGTGCCTCTCCGACCACAAACACCCCTCTCGTGATTTGTAAAATACCAGCCATCCCAGGCATATGCCAGCCATCGTCGTAATTACGGATGCATGCGGCCTGTGATTTGGGGGTTAGGGCGGCGGTGTTTTTTTTTCGGGTTGGAAATTGTTCTATGCTTCGGTAAAAGGGTGAATGGAGAAAAAAATTGCGTGAATTTATATCTAAAAAATGTTTTCTAAATTATCAAATGTGCACTATGAGAATGATTAGCACGTTATGATAAAGATGGCGAGGTACAAACCTACGAATCCGACACTGGTTTACGTCGGACCAAAATTAATTGTTTGTAAAATAAAATAAATGATCTACGCGCTTTTTGGGTGAACTGTTACAAAAAGGGGTTGTCCATTGCATGAACAAAACTAATTATAAAATGCCAACTGTAACCACACGCCTGTTTTTGTGGTGCTTGGTTAATAAAATATGTATTTTTTTACAGAATACCCAGAATATAATTATGATTTACGAGAGTATATCAGTCTCAACATTGAACAACGTGTACAAGTGGAAACAAGATATTCACGTGTGCGAGACAATGAATAACGCTTTTCTCCCAATTGGAACATGCCTGCACACCACATTGCTGCCTTGTTGTTCTGAATCTCTGTACCAAAAAAAACCCACCCAAACACACACACACAGAGGATCAACTCACCTTATCGAGATCACCTGCCCGTACCGTTTGGGAGGGAGTCTTTAAGCACTTTGGGCTGCTGCGTGGCCAACTTTATAAGGCCGGGTCTGATCGAAGTTCACTTCACGGTGGGCAGCGTGAGATCACCTTCCTGTGTGCGACACGCACTTTCGTCATTTTCCAAACCGCCCACATCTTCCCTCCAACTCTCCGTCAAAACCGGCAACCCGCAAAATCCCTCCTCTCTCTCTTTCTCTCTCGCGCGCGCGGCTCCCTCCGTCGAGTCAACAAAGCCGCGCCGGTGTTCCAACCTCACCTCCAACGGCACTCGTTCCTGCGCTGCCCGACACGCGGCGTTTGGCCAAATCGGTGGCGGTGTGCAGGATATCGCACACTTTCCACTGCGCTCCCGCGGTTCCCTTCCTCTTGTCAAACGGGCGGCAATTTATGTTGTTTTGTAAGTGCACCCTTTTCCTACTCCCGCTCCCGCCCCCCCACCTTCAATGTAACACGAGGTGGAGTGACATCGCCGTTCGACAATTCTCGTGGTGAAATAGCTACTGCTGCTGCTGCTGCTTCTTCTCTGTTGTCATCTTATCTCAGGATGAATCACCAACGCTTGCCTGTTGAAGTGTTTCTCGGTCAAAAGAGCCGATTGTGAAACGTGAGGGGCTGCTTTGTTGTGCCTCTGGTCACATGCTCGTGGCCAATTCTTAACTTTGACACAGAAATGCTCAACAATATTACATTTTATGGGGAAATGTATGTGGGGGGGTGGGGGGGGGCGGGTGGCGGAGGGGAGGGAGTGGCGGGGGTGGTCAGCAAACTTGGCGAATCCGAGTTTTATTTTACGCCACGGCTCACACCGCTGGTCTCGCGACATTAGCTATTTGCTCCGATGTTTGTGTGCTGTTCGTTGTTGTAACGATCTTACCCACCCCTACTAACATCTGTGAAAAAGAGCTTTAGAGCTCATCGGAATTCTCCTGCACTTTCAATAAATATTCTGATTATGAAACAAAAATTCTGATAGCCGGGCGGAGATTTGGGCCCCTCCACTGCACCATCTCTCACTGACCAAGGTGGTGAAATATAGCAACCCCCCCCCCCCAACTCTCCATGACCAACATGGCAAGCTGGAGGACCCAAATCAGCAGTGGATAGATAAAGGACAGCAATCATTATGTTTACGTCAACGGCGTGCTTGAAGCAGGGAGAGTGACACGCATTCTGTCCGTTTGCTGCGTGGGGTTTGCATGTCGAGTATGCTGACGTGTCACAACAAGAAAGCTTGGCTTAGATTATTAGAATATACCGCAAACGTGGTTTAATCGGTTTTAGTAAATATGTAATGATGGTGAAGGCGCAGCCCTGCAATTGATCGCTTGAGCAGCTGCTGGCCGATGGGACTCTCAATGGAGGGCACTTTCGAGAGCTCATGTCGAGGGTCTTATGCCTACTCTTCCCTGCTGACCCAGGCAAGTGTGGCGTACACCGTCTTTACTCCTGAGTGGACAGAGGCTCAGAGATTTAGGAATCTTACATCATTACTTCAACTGCCGCGCGAGAGAGCGAACCGGTGACCCCTGGATTGCAAGTCCATGCTGCTGACCATTACACCGCGGCTCGCGTAAATATCGGCAGAATGTAAATCACGCGTGAATTGTTACCGCGAGAAGGCTAGACTTAAGAGCATGATGCGCGAGTAAGTGACATCGCCGCATTCATTAGACAGCAAGGGTATTGATGACTCGCTGGTGGTGGTGGGGTAAAATGTGGGTACCTTAACCTCTTGAAACCAGCCTTGGATGAAGAGGGAGCGGGATATGAATGCCCTTTTCAGCAAGACAGGCCCTTCATTTGCAAGGTCTGGATCGTGTCATTGCACCGCTCGCAGTAGAAGCCAGCGCACATTTTAATGTCAAAGCACACGAACGCCATTCGCGAATATATTTCTCCCCCCCCCCCCCCACGATACGTCTGGGTAGGACTCGGCATTCCTTTAGAAAACATTTTACAACGGAACCTGAAACGAACAGCAATCAGTCGCTAAAAACATTACCTTTCAGCCTGCTCCAACGTTCTCTTTACACCTCGCTCTTCCGCTGCAATTCGAATGTGTCACGTTGACATTGAGAATTGGCTCGGCACAGGAAGAAAAAAAAACACACACACAAAACTCGATCTGTAAACACGACACGGTACAAAACCATGACCGAATCCGTCCGTAGGTGTGCGCCCGTGTAGTGCGCAGTGCTTTGTGTGACAAGAGACATCGGGTTGCTTTGCTCATTGAGGTGTAGCCCACTGTTAATGGGGCTTGGTGCTTTCCTAGCTGTTTGCTAACACGCGTGTCATGTCATGTGCGTGTGTGTGTAACAAGCACTGCAACAAAACAGGCGCAGCCAAGCAGGTGAGTCGGTGCAATAGGTTGGCTCATCGTTCTGTGGTCAGGCCACCGTATCGCGTACGCCTCTTCAGACTCATCGGGGATGTAGTTGTGATACAGAGCTGCAACTTTGAATAGGTTTATTTCAATCGCTGCCATCATCATAAGCAGCAGCAGCAATGCTCAATCCACTGCTGGATGATGGCGGCTGCTTGCGAAGGCCACGCCGCGGGCATCTATTGTGATCTTGCGAAGTAATATTACCCAGAGAACTGAAACAATGAAAAGCAATGTGTGTAGAAGGAGAGCAGTGGAATGACTGATATCTCTGGTCCACTGCCTTGTCTGTAAATACATACATACATGCATGCGTAAATGCGCGTACATTCAAAGCAAGGAATTTTGAAGACAGATGCCAACTGGGAAGTGCTGTACTCTGGCGGGCTGACCAGGACGAGGCGAGTGTCCTTGTGAATTCAGCGCGCGTACGCGGAGTGGTGACCCCGCGCAGCTCTTATCTCTGTCGGCACTCCTTGAGGCCCATTGGTACACAATTCCACGTTCTGATGGCGAGGCCAGCGCATCCACAGAACGACCACTGTTGACTTACCAATAGTTCTCATTGTACCAATGCTCTGACCGGGATCAGACATTAATGCAACAGCAGTACTTCTATATTTTAAAGGAATAAACGCACTGATGAGTGCTAATAATCATGAAACTGGAAAACAATAGACTTGTTGCTGTTCTCGAAAATAGAAATATGCCTCGATCTCAGCTGCTTTGGACTTGCAGCCATCACAAAGCTGTCTGCAGATTATGCACAACAATGGCGATTGTCACTTGGACATCCAAGGCACGTTGAGATTCCTGACATTGTAAGAGAGATTGAGCAGGAGCGGTGGTGTCGTGGCTAGCACGCTGCGCTATGAACCTGGCAACCTGCGATCGATTCCCAGCCATGGCTAACATCATCCACGTGCTCTATCTGAACACATCTCGGGCTCGGCCAGTTCACCAATGCACCTACCGGCGTGGTGAAGTATGGTTAACAACCTCCCGTGGCTGACAGCGTTGGATTTACACCACAAACTGTAAATATATTATTCAATATTTATAATAAGGAAACAAAACACAAACCCAACATAGAAATGTAGAAGGAGGTCAGCGTGTTATTATGGACGATCATCGATGCCCTTACGTTCACGAAGCTGCTGCTCCTTTGCAATCGCTGATGGCGTTGGACCGTAAATCATCACAGGCGGAATGCTCCTTCTCGTAGCGAGTTGCCTCGGGGGGTTCTTTTACAGCCTCGGGGCGGCGGGGGGGGAGAGACTTCTCTGGACGGGGACGCATGGAGCTGCCGCTGCTGCCGCTATCAGGACGACGGCTCGCGGCTATTCTTAGAGTGCGATTAGAGCCGCAACGCAACCCCATCCGCCACGGGCGCTTGAAGCGCGATGAACTCCGCACCCCGGAGTGGGACAGTTCCACCTGCGCTCCTGACGCTCACCGCATCCTAATGCTGCCGGGGCGTTTGTCTCCTGAGCAGCCTCACTCCCGGTGAGGAGCGTGTGTGCAGCATAGCAAGTAGGGGGACGCTGCCAGGTAAACCCCTGATGCTCTCCACCGCGCACCGAGAGAGCTTCAGCGGTGTAAGGGGACGCTGAGCCAAGCGTGGCTGAGATGGCGGAGTTGAGGATGTGGGCTTTTTTGTCCACCGCTATTGAGACGTAATTCTCAAGCGTGGACGGCGGTGGATCGGGCTCGGCCTGGATGCCAATAACCGCACACAATTTTCTTCATTTTTCACGGCGATTGTTAGATATTGCCAATTAATTTGCAGCACGAAATTATCATTTGCGTCGTTGTGCAGAATGTACGCGAGAAAATAGATAAGCAGACAATACGCATCCTTCGTATATCTGAGCCCCGAGATAAAACAAGGACTTTTTAATAAAAAAAACAAAAGCATTTTTCTGCAACCCAGCGGCAACACGGCCTTGTGGGAATTGCATATTTTTTGCAGCATTGATTCAAGTACAATAAACAATCCCGAGCAATTTCAACATGCAGTGCCTCATCACTTGATGCGATTTATATCCAGATCCGCGAAAACTTGTTGGGTTGATTGCCACGCGATTAACGCAGACTTTGAAAGGTACAAGAAAGGTGCAATAACATCGTTGGTGCCAGTGGCCTTGTACTGAAGGAAATTCAGTAGTGGTTCTGTCATGTCGTCTTCTTGCATCATTCACGAAAACAAGGTGATGTACTGCTCACTGAAAGGCTCTCAAATAATAATCTCAGAAATTAACATCAATAATAGTAATAATACAAAATCAGAAAATGTATTAATTCTGTATGAATCTAATGAGCTATTAAGCTCTTTTTCACAGGTGTCCAGTGAAGTAACGCTGACCAGTGTGGGCTGTGGAGGGATGATGGGCAGGACTGCTTCTGATTAAACTCACTCTTGAATTTATCCAAGGACAGAAATCAAACTCAAGTCACCGGAATCACAACACTACGTACTAATTGCTGCTTCACGACTCCCTCTTTACATACATTCAATCTATGTATTTGATCCTGAATATTGACAACTTGGATTCAAATTTGTCTAAAACATGGCAGGCAATAGTGGCGATTCAAATAGTTATATCACTAAACTCGGCGCCCTTCAGCTCAATAGAAGGCAAACAAATACCGACCCACATTATGAAGTAACTGTTCGGCCCTCTAACGCATAAAATACTGGTTATGATAACCACGCTTCGGTGGCCCAGATGGAAAGAACAAGTTGTGTCTGGCAGCACAAACACACCTGGGGAAGCCTTGCCAGTGAAGCCCTCGGCACATTCATCATAGCTGGAGTCGCAAGCGTTGTTTGGGGCTCATTCTGAGGACAACGGAATGTGGGTGACGTAATGTATTTATCTTCGCCGCTTTGCTGCATCTCGCCTCCGACTCAACATCATTATTTTCGTCATCACGACAATCTTCCGTCTTTTGCCCAATTTGTCGTCTCCCTCTTTCGTGCGGCGT